GTTTTTTTTTTTTTTTTTTTTTTTTTTTTTTTTGCAAGGATGACGGTGATATAACCAATAATTTGATCGTCACAGTTGAAAGTTTCGAAGTAACATCTGGTCTAAAGATAAATTGGGAAAAATCAGTGATTAATGAAATTCATTTGGAAGAATTTTGATTGGTCACACATGCCAATTGTCTACATGGTAAAATAAGTGCCTTGGTTTACACACACACACACAAAACAAACAAACAAAAATGACCATGGACCTTTTATCACTCTCAAAAGATTCATTTGCGAAGAAAGCTTTAACTGACTCCAGCCTTGTTTCTTGTACTCACATTTTATGCAGTGAACTTGCCACATGATGCCCAACAAAGGCACTTCCTAAAATTCCCCATCCGTTTGAAGTTAATTCATCAGATCCCCACAAATAACTTCATTATTTCAACCTAGTAATTGTAAAGATAACCAGATTCGTTGATCTTAAACATTAGTTTCCATAAATTGCATCAATGTTTTCAATTGGTCATTGATTTCTCTTCTCCAACGCTAATACTACTCAGCACAAGAATCAAGCATCAGTGTATACTAACCCTACAGTCTCATTGATCAAACAAATTATCCCCCAACACTCAACACACACACACACACACACACACAGAGAGAGAGAGAGAGAATATACAACTCACTTCCTTAAACATTCGTCATAAAAGCCATAAACCTGAGTGATCTGAGAACCAAAAAGGAGAGAAGATGAAATGGTGCAAGTTAATTCAAGTGTTCAACGTTATTTTGAACATCTAATTTAAATGAAACAAATCCCAAAAAACAAGACAAATCTAGTGTGTAAAATCATACCTGACGACTCTCATGATTTCCTCGTAGAATGGTAATCCGGTGAGGATAACGAACCTTTAGAGCCACTAATAACTGGAGGAGTATGGCAGACAACCATATATATTAGATCAAATATATCATCCAGCCAGAGCATATACGTCTTACATTATACATGATTTCTTATTAAAAAAATTATTACAAAATTCATGGCTTGGTATGGGATATATGGATGCCTTAACAGAATTATGAACTAGGAAAATCACATAAATCTGTTTTATGTGCTTACCGTGACAGTTTCAACAGAATAATATCCCCGGTCCACATAATCTCCCATAAACAGATAATTGGTGTCTGGACACTGTTACAATATTATGTAATGAGTTATATATTCAGACCTGATGCAGAGGATGCTCAAAAGAAGTCAACTCACAAAATATTTGTCTATAAGTAGAAAAGTAAGTAGAATTTTGAACAACAATCTTCCTTTTCTACTCTTAATTTTATTTTCACCAAAGATGAACCCTAAATAATTCAAGGTTTAAATTAGTTCCAAAACTTTCATTTTAACATTCAAATGTCTTGTGTTAGTCCCTAGCCGAGAAAACCTTATACAGTTAAAACATTGATTATGTCAAGTAATCATCAAAGAAGGAAAGATATCCTTTGGCCAAACTAGGTCAAAACACTCCTTCGGAACTAAAAGAAATGTGTAGAATTTTTAATCACGTGGAAGGAATATTAAGGTTTTGTTAAAGTGAGCTACTTTTTTTTGCTAATTGGAGTTCTCTTAAATTATATTAATGCTTAAAAAATATAAAAAAATAATAACTACCAAATTAGCTTTTTTAATTTCCCTTGGCTTTCAGGACAGTAATATATATCTTATCTTCATTCCATTTTTCAGCAGTAAAAAGAAAAATCTTTCTTGAAATAAAATTAATGAATTTTAAAATAGCATAACTTGTACCTTCCCTCCGATTAGGAAAAGTTCTGCAAGGTCATGAAATTGTCCATGAATATCTCCGCATATTGTAACTGGACTCTTCACAGGCTGAATGAGAAGAAAAAAAAGAAGATTCCATGGATAAAAGAACCATAAGAAGTCTGATATAGTAATTATGAAAAGTTGAAAACCAAATAATTATGTGCTACTCCTGCAATTTAAAATTGAAAGGGAATTTTGAATTGCTGGTATTCTACTATAAACTCAACATCAATTCATTTTGTCAGATGAGAAAAAGTTGTATAAATATATTTTTTATAAGAAAAAAATTGTAAAACAATAAAAATAACAAAGGGGAGGGGGCCTATGTAACAAAAAAATGTTGGTTATCAAAGGCGATGAGTAATAAAATGATGAATAGTTGACCAAAATGTCTTGCTCCAAATGAATTGGTTATGAATTTGCATTCTAACTTCTCGAAAATTAAAATGATGCGAAAGAATGATGATGACCAACCATTACTAACTGCAATAAATAATAGAAACAATATATACAATACAGGCCACTGGTGCAGCATGAAGACAAAACTTGTGAACATGGAAGACCTTTAGTTTTAAGATGTGTATCTTCCACCGGTAAAAGGGGCCCCAAATAAAGACACAAAAAGGAACATCATCATAGATGGATCATAGAATAAAAGGTTTGAAGGCACAAATTACCTGTACATTACTCTCATCCATTAGAACCTCTTTGGCTTTGCCACATAATGCCCTAACCTACTTCAACAAAGAAACCATGTTATTTTTATTTCCAAATGTGTCAAGAGTCAAAATCACCAAATTTGGGGCATGCCACAAGGTACAAAACCATGCTAAAGTCAATCAAAAGCTCGTAAATATGACATCCTGTGCACCGCGAGCTATGGCGTCTCTCTAGAACTCCCTTCATAATCAATTATTGTAATCACACCCGTTTAATTATTCTTGCTAAGGGGAGCGGCTTTCTATAATCTTCTCGAGTTTATTTAGGATTTCATATCCTCCTATAATGAACTGTCCAGTGGGTAATTAATGAAGTGTGCATTCCAATTTCCAAGAAGAAAGGAATAATAAAATGAAGGCAATACTGATATCTGGATTCAGGAAGGTATCATAAACACCGTTGAAACTCGTTTCTAAATTTAAATGAAAGATAACAACACATCTAAATCTAAAAGGCAAGAGCAACAAATAATGCTGTTAATTTAGTTACCCTCCAGATCAATTGTTGAAATAGGCATATTACTGATATATACAAAAAGCACTGCTTCAAACATATCGAAATCTCCATACATCCTAGCACCAACTCCATTTTTCATTTCAACAACATGCCAATCGTGATGTCAAAAAAGAAATCCACTCCCACCATCATACCTAAATCTATAGTTGAGTACCCGAAACACAAAACCAAAATTTTTCGACCCAATCAAACAGCAGCCACCCAACCAGTTCCTCTCTTTCAATCACCATCTTCTACTAAAGGCACCCAATCAGAGTAGCGAGATCTCCCAGTAATGACGACCAGAAAACAAAGAAAAAGAGAGAGATAGACCCAAAGATTCAAAAATCAAACCCCCCCCCCCCCCCCCC